CAAATCGACCAAAGTCCACAGGGTCGAGTTAAAAAAGACGAGACAGAGTAAACATAGTGGTGCTATTCGAAGATTCAACAAAACATAAAGAGACTCTTCCGACAAGCACCGTAGAATAATCAAATAGACATTGGCACCCGGAACCACGTTCGTCGGACAAAAAGATGATAGACTAGCGACATCTAAAGGTTTGGTGAACAGGGGAGGAACAAGCATCGAAAACGGGAGGAGATTGGGTGGGTACATGGGTACTTTGGCTACAAGCCTAGGCCCTGGAAAAATCCCTAAGACCGGGGCGGGGGCAGCCCCCAACAGAGCGGTACATCATTGGTGGATGCTTCGCTCCCACAAGGCTCCAGGGCTTCTAGGGCTGCGGCCCGTGTGGAACCTGTCATCCCAGCCCACTGCTAGCCCTAATCCGGTGTAGCCTGCCAGCCTGCTTATCCCCCCCGGTACACCTTGTTCGCTTCAGCACACCTTGTTCACTTCACCCCCACCTTGACACCAACCTCTTCCAACGACTCGACCGACTTGCCCTGCTGCTTGCCTCGTCGTCGTCTATCTCTCTCTTCATGGCCAAATCACCAACAGACACTGCCTGGGGCCAACAATGCCTGAAGCCTCGACCAAGATGAGGTGGAGGACGGATATGATCCACCCTCATCTTGAGGCCTGTGATGCAAACATCTGATCAGAACCTCTTCTTGCCTGGACCTCGTCGATATGGCCGAGCCTTGCCGCTATACCTTTGATCAAGCTCAAGCTCACATTCCATGGACCCGACCTGCACGCCACACACGCCCACAAGCCGTTGACCATTGCCTCTCCGCTTGGCATACTGGCCCCCCGTCTCCCGACACGGCAGCATCAATCGAATAGAAGCAGAGCTCCGAGCTCCCCTGTCACGACGTGCGTGCGTCCCGCAGCCCCCGCTCCCCTCTTCAGGTCGCGCAGCGTGCGTGGGAACCGGTACCATTTGGAGCCCTCCTTGCCGTCTTTATCAGCCATCGTGCAGTTGGGTCTCCCTTGCATCGGCACTGCCAGCACACCAACTTCTGCCCATCCACCCATGCGACGTACATGTACGCAAGTAACGGCCGGGAACTGCCCACAACCGTAAACGAGCCTGCGGGCTTGGGAACGCCAGGCAGGCAAACTGGACTTTTTTTTTCCTTTCCTTCTTTCCTTGGTCGTATGGGCCATCATCTGCGCTGCCGGGCCGCTGGCCCTGCTCTGCAGACCTTCAGACAGACGGCCATGGCATGGCATCCTTGGCGATTGCAAGACCAGGCTCGCAGTCGGTCAAGCTCGAGTGGACTACCCGAAGAACGAATCTTCCATGGGCCGCAGCTTTTGTCGAGCGCAGCTTTTGTCGTTACTCAAACTATCGAAGCAGGCGCAGTATTGTACGCCACTGATCTGCACTTGGTGCTCTGAAATTCCAATTCTTCAAGCGACGGCCTCCATTGCTCCCAATCCAACGCCGAGGCTGCTCATGCGGCAGGTCAGAGACACGGCGAGACACCAAATGGCTATCTACTTGTTAAGGATGTTGGTACATAAGACATGGTCTCCAGCATTCCACATATAGCCCTAGCTCGGCCGGCGTGTTCACACGAGAATCGCAGTTGGCATGATAGCGCAAGAGCTACCTGATCGATCGGCCTTCTGGTGCTTGTTTCTCCCGGGCCATGATGACGTTCTCGCCCGCCTTTCATACATGTCCCTGGGTGCAAGCGATCCGTACTTCGGACCTTGTCGGAGAAGCTCTATCACATCTAGACATCACCCATGTAGCATGCAAGGTACTGGCGAAAGGAAGAGCGCGACCTTCCCGCTTGGAGACTGTTTACTCCTCGTCGAGCGAAGACTCGAACTTGGCAGCTGAATCCAAACAGCCTTCCTCTGCAGGCATTCTTCGCGCAGACTGCGCTGCACACACACCGATGGGTCAAGCTGCAGGCCAAGGTGGCTAAGAGCTTCCGTGAAGAACGGATGAAGAAGGAGGCGATACCCCGGACTTGGCCGCCTGTTGAATGAACAAGACCGGGCAACCCCCAAGGAGGAGAGGCACCCGACTGACTTTGACCTCTTTACCCTCCTGTGAAGACCACAGCCCGAGGGGTAGATCTGCTTCAACGCCCGACAAGATGGACATGCAAAGTATGCAAGTCCAATCAGCACTAGGCTTCTTCAGTCCGACATCTCACCGTCCAGCGGCCGGCTGTGCCTCTTGTGCAAGGTCTAGTTGCCCATCCACTTGACCCAATCCCACGTATCCATGATCCATGCCACGAACCTGCAGTTGGCCCCCACCACCGTCTCCCCCCCTTAGCACCGCGTGTTAACCAGCGGAATCATGGGCGAAGATGACCGACGCCAACCAGAATCTACATAGTACATCCTCGCAGCATGCCCTCCAATCCGTACTTGCTCCCGATGTGTCATCCTCGGCGCTGCCGTGTCTGGCTTTGGGGCCCAATCAAAGCTGTCATTGACCATCCCTCAGACAAGCGGATGAATAGACAACGTCCCTCTCCTCTGGGCGCTCTTGCGGCCCTTTTCCCCCCACGACGCCGATGCTTTCCAGATGCTCTTCGAGGCCGTCTCGGCTCTTCCTCCTGGTCGTGCCGGTCGCATCTTCTGTCTGTCTGTCATTCAAATTCCATCTTCCCTTGACTCTCCTCCAGGCCACGAGGCTGTCGGCGAACGTCCTTCCAGCCCTATCTGTCAGACAAGAAAGGATCACCCAGTGTCGATCCTGGGCACGTGTGCTGTTCTGGACTGCTACCACACCTTGCCACTCGACCATCTATTGGGCCTTGCCCCAGTGGGTGTGAAGCCGTCCGCGGGGTTGACCGACTCTCCAACGGTAAGTTGCTGCTCGATATCGATTGCCTATTGTGAACAAAGGGTAGCGGCTCTTGGATGCTTGCCACGCCCCATCCATCTTCTTGCTCTCGCGCTCCTAGTTGTGTCGCCCCCCCCCCCCCCCCCCCCCCCGGAAGGGCAGCCCGTCTGACTGTCTGACTGTCCTGTAGTTCTGCCACACAAAAAAATTTGCCCAATTAAAACCCGCTGCTGGCAATATTATTGCCGACTTGAGATGCTCTGATCACGAGGAGTGCTCGTTGATTCCTGTTCTCTCCACCTCATCGTAGCCGGCGTCCACCACGACGCAGCCCTCGAGATGAGTCGTCCGTATATTGCTGTCGTCCTTTCCGCCCTTGCCGCGTTGGTTTCCGCGCAGTATGAAGGTTGGACGGAAAACCAGGTCAATGCCTCTTTGTGTTTATGGGGCCAACCTAGAGGTAGGGTTACTCTGGCTTCTTGACCGGAACAGCGGGCAGCCTGATGCTGACCCGTGGTGTTTAGCTGCCGTCATTAGAGACACCGTCTACCTAGACGGCGGCCTGATGATATGGTTGCAAGGCCTCTCCAACGGCCAAAATGGCCCCTTGGACTCTGTCAGTCAGTCGCCCTGGCCACTACCCAGCTAACTATCTGGTGAATACTGACGCCTCCAGACAACCCGATGGGCCTCATGTTCACCTTCAACTTCAGCCAACCGTTCAGTACCTCTGACAACCTGACGGCCCTTCTCGACCCACTTTCCAAGGCTCGCGGAGGCTTCGGCTCTAATGCGAGAGGCGAATCCCCCAACTTTTTCGATGGCGCCCTGCTGGGAAACGACGCCGAAGTCACCCTGTTCGGTGGCCTGGTCAAGAAGGCAGAGCTCGACAAGGCACCCGCGGAAGACGAGGTGCTCACGTACCAGCGTTATCAGTATGGTCCGGAACGGGGCAACTTCAGACCAAACTTTGTCACCAACGAGCTCGACGGCGTCTCGCGGTACATCACCGACGGAGGCGCCGCCAGTGCGCCGTCTGAGAACAAGGCTTGGTACTTTGGTGGATTGAGGGGCCCAGAATGGGGGCCGATCTTCCAGAGGAGCGCCAACATGTCCGAGAATGCGGCGAACGTGTCGCATACACTGATTACGCTGGACATGAAGGACCAGCTGACGCCCGTCTGGACGAATAAGACTCTCCCGGAGAGCATTCAGGGACGGGCCAACCCTGAGGTTGTCTGGGTCCCGGTCGGTGAACAGGGCATTTTGGTGGTTATCGGTGGCGTCACATACCCTGACTGGGTGTCGCCCACGCGCAGGGTCGGAGAACGCGGCGCAGAGTGTGAGTTCTTCGCCCTGGGTCCGAATGATGGCGGGACAAAAGCTGACACCCACGCCAGAAAGGAAGAGAGCGACAAGTTCATGCAGGACATTGACATCTACGACATTGCCAGCGACGAGTGGTACAAGCAGCCGTCCTCGGGCGCACCGACTGCCAGCACGCGAGGTTGTGCCGTCCTCGCGTCCGCCCAGGACGGCTCCAGCCACAACATCTACTACTATGGCGGATATCCCGGTGTCGACCCTCGCGAAGACTTTAGCGACGAAGTCTGGGTCCTCTCGCTGCCTTCCTTCACCTGGACCAGAGTCACCGAGATGCGGTTGGACTTTGCCAACACAGGCCATAGTTTCGCGCGGGTGGGACACAAATGCTTCAAGCCTTACCCCGATCAGATGTTGTCCTTCGGCGGCACGACTCAATTAACGGGGATCACTCCGGCGTGTCTGAGGCACAACAGCATCATCCAGGCGTACAACCTAAGCAGTGCTGAATGGATGGACTCGTATGACCCGCGAGAATACGCCAACTACACCGTGCCCAGTGCTGTGTTGGCTGTCATCGGAGGCAACCCTACAGGCTCAGCGACAGCTACCAGTCCAGCTGCATCGGGAGGATGGGTCGACGATGAGCTGGCAGACATCTTCGACACCGAGTACAACACGGACAAGATCCGGCAGTGGTTCCCTTATCCTGTCATCGAAGACAACACCCGGCCTACCATTCCCGACGATGGCAGTGGCGACAACGATGACAACAGCGGAGGCGGAGGCGGCGGCACTCCCAAATGGGTCGCACCCGTGGTCGGTGTCATTGGCGGCCTCATAGTCCTGACCGCGTTCCTTGTCGGCTTCTGCCTCTGCCGCAAACACCGCGACATTCGCCGCGGCGACTACAGCGCGGCCGGCACGGACGAGAACGGCATGCGCGTGCTCTCCTGGATGCGCGGCCACCACAGCGTCGCCAAGGACCCGACCGTCACCACCGAGGAGACAAAGTCCAATCTAGACATGGCCGAAGCGCCGCGCTCCCCGCCCGTCGCCTTCGCCGCCGCCGCTCCTGATCGTGATCGGCAAAGCCCCCACGCCGAGCTCCACGACGTCTTCATCGCCGAACTCCCAGACACGTCGCGGCCGCCCGAACTGCACGACACGGGCCTCACGCCGGTCGAGACCATCCCGAAGCGCTCCCACTTTGCCACGCCCGGCGCCCGCCCCTCGGGCAACCCGTCCTCCTACTACGGCTCCGTCTCCGGGAACGAGGAGTCCTCCATCTCCCGCTCCTCCGGCGTCCTCGGCGCCCAGTCCCGCGGCCAGTCCCCCTCGCCCGCGCCGCCGGGGCCGCCGTCCCCGCCCATACCCGGCAGCAGCGGCCGCCCCGGCGCACGGGCGAGCAACGTCTCCGGCCTCAGCGAGCCGGAAAAGAGCCACCTCAGACAGATCAGCGAAGCGACGGTCAGCTCGGCCACGTCGTCGGCGGAGAGGGTCCCGCAGGTTGCGAGGCCAGCCAAGGAGCCCGCGACGCCCACGAGCCCCGGCGCCGTCAGTCCGCCGACGGGGGGCCCGGCGGACGAGAGCGAGGACTACGTGTCGGCGAAGAGCCCGCTGCGCCGAAGCGTCTTCCAGGAGAGCGAGGATGATCTCGGGGGCAAAAGATGAGAAGGGGACGTTGGGCTTTGATTTCACCCTCAGTGATGCGCAAGCGGCATTCGAGGTATCTAATTTTTTTTTCATGAGGATTCCTGTGTCTTGCAGATCTCTAGTTGAGAATACCGTCAGGGACATGTATACTGGAGTTATTTTTCTTTTGATACCATGTGTCCATCTCGAGTCAATGTGAATGCAGTGACTGCCTCTGTATTGCTCTACTACCTACCCAGATTCGTGATCTCTGCAAGACATAACGACCTCGGCCTTTTCGTGCTGAACCTGGCGGTGGGAAGCGCAGATGATGTGCGAACAGCCTCGTGTCTGCTCTCATGCTGAAACGACTGTCAGAGTGTTTCACATTTGCGATCGTCTTTTCTTTTGTCAAACCTCGCGGGTTCAGACCAGGATCATCATGACATGATTTTGCCGTGTTCAGTCACGTCCGCTCGTTCATGCGGGGGAGAATAAATCTGCATACATTACCAATGCATCGTTGGTTGATCGCAAAAGTCTATCCCTATCACATAAACCGCGTCATCCTCGTTAAACAGCGCGCAACCAGGCCTGTGATCATGCAAACTCCAATAATCTGTAAAGCCGGTCGCCGCCCGCTTTGTACAAGTGGTATCATTTCATGAGAACAGGAACAGAAAAACCAGCAGACCCTTTTTGTCAGCCCAACCACAATGCCATCGATAATCTCGACAACAAGGAGACTTGACAGCATACCAACTCGAATGGCATTTAAACCCAGTTGAGCTCATTTAGTCAGTCGGCCTCATCCAAGAGCTGATCAAGGAAGGTGCCGGGATGAGGCTCGCCGCAACAAGGACAGATGCTGATGCTGTCGTCATCCTCTTCATCATCGTCATTCCCGTTCTTATCAGCGGGTGGTTCGAGGGGATACCCACTACTGCGGCAAAACTCAACCCATTTCCGCTCCCCGGAGTTGCGCGAGATGGGAACCCGCTTCCAGATGACCTTGTCCTCTCGATGAGAGGTCGGATGGCCTTCCTGGGCAGGAGCAGCAGGCATTGTGGGGATATGCGAGTGATGAGCGTCTAGGCCGGACCCGTCCAAGGCGTCAAAGTCGGTATCTTCGCTATCGCTAAGTTCATCATCGACGGGGACGGTGGATGTGCCCAGCGAACCGACCCGAAGGGACTTGTAGGCGCGAATAACTCGAGCACAGATGGGACGGCCGCTGAGCGGAAGAACCCCTCGCTTCGTCTGCACGTAGGCAGGCACTCCCGTCATGTAAAGACCCTCATCCCGTAGGAGACCAGTAAGCTCGGCGGAGGCCTTGACTCCGGGGTCGTCGATGGGGAGGCCAGTCACGTAGAGTTCGTTCAAAGAACATCCCAACTCATGTGAGGCCATATTGTGCATGTCATTTCCAAACATGGGAAGTTTGTCGGCTGTGAAATTGACCAGGTCGATATGGAGAGACTCTAGGGCAGGCAGCAGGCGAGGCCTGATCTGCTTCTTGTCGTGCTTCGGGTCGAATGGGGGACGAAGCGCTGCGAGAAAGTCAACAATCTGCGACCACGAGTAGCAGCGGAAGCCGCCGCGAGCGTACGTCTGCTCGTTGACGCGCATGTTGACTGGTAGTTGATGATCTTTCCTCAAGGACTGGTGATAGGTATGATGCAGGCGGTGACGACGCTTCTTGTCGTCGTAGAATTGGGCAATGATGCGGAACGAGACACTTTTGATGCCCTTTCGATGGTTCAAGTCAAGCTCGGCAAAGTTACGGAGGGCCTCGGGGCTGGTGAATGTGAAGGAATTATGACCCCATAGAATGCGGGTTCCTTCCGTGTGCATGGCTCTACAGGTGGCGAGAAAATGAATGGCGATCTGGTTCCCGCGTGCCTTCTCTTCGGCGGTGACGGTGTCCAGCCTTAGCTTGGAGAGGGGGTCGAAGATCGAGAGGGGCGCTGTGAGTGCATACTTGAGTATGCGTAGCAGAACCTCAGTAGGCAGATATGGGTTCGTCGGGGCGGCGGCGAGAGAGCGGCGGCGGGTCATGCGCCCCGAGTTTCCATGCTTCACAGCATGAATGTGAGCTGTGGCAATAGGCGACCACGTAATGCCGTTTTCTCGGAGCAGTCGCTTGAGCCTGAGGTTCTCATCGGTCAGTATGCGGTGCTTCTGGCGGAGAGGCTGGTTGTAATAAGCCTCGGCCGTGTCTTCCTTGTCCTGGGTCTCCCACGGATCGACATCCTAGGTCGAGTCAGCAAGTGCACGCACAAAGAGATATGACACAGAGCGGCAACATACCACGAAGTCCGAGTTACGTGTCATAATGTCTGCCGGGGCGGGCAAGGCCGGCGATGGTGAACGATCGAGCTGCAGTCGAGACGAGGGTTGATAGCGCAGAACCTCCCCGAGAATGAGTGCTCCCAGATTGCCTCAGTCCGCTGGTCGGTTAGGCGGACCAATCTTAACGACGTGAAACGGGAGGCAGGCGCGTCCCCAGGTACCTTACAAAGGTATCGAGGTAGGAGAAGGCCGAGAGAACTGATGCCAATTCAATGAGTCCAGGTACGGATGTGACTGCCCGTAGGAGCAGCAGCAACAGCAGCAGCAGCCAGGTTGCAGGGCTGACACGGCAAGACCTCTCCGTCTTCAAATTGCACTGTGAAAGGCAGGCACGATGTCCCGTTGTGAGAAATGGAGATGAGTCGATTGGCAGTCGTGAGAGAAGCTGGTTGATACGTAGATAAGAGGTACGTCCTTCAGTAGGTACGTCCACCAGACCGTCTGCTACTCCGTTGGCGACAGTCAGACTAGAAGGATCAAGGGCCGGAACGTCGTGGTTGCCCACACGTGCTGCCTGTGTGTTACAAGGAAGGCAGGCACCACGGGTAGATCCAGTTCAAAATCGTTCGAAGGAGCAACCCGCGGTTGAGCAGGAACGGTTGATGACAAGACAAACGCAGCGATGTCGGTCCAGACCGAAAAAAGATGACAGCGATAACCGAAAACAGCGATGGTGAGAAAATCGGGGTTGGGTAGATGTGGATTGTCGGAACGTTTCGGATCGTCAGTTATGGGCAGTGGGCAAATGTCATGTCGAGGAGTCCTCCCAGGAAGATGCTAGAAGATGAGTTAAGGAGCAGAGAGACGACCAGCATCAGGTGAAAAGCCTCAAAGCGGGCGGGTGGGCGGGTGGTGATGGAAACGAAAGGCGGACCTTGGGTGAAGTGTGTTTGACCGGCAACCGGCGTGTGGTGAGCAAGTGAGAGAGAGGGAAAGAGTGGAGGCAGGGGGCGGTACTGTGGCAGGATCACAGCAGAGTCATGCCTTCTGACAAAGAAGGGGGCATCCTCGTGGAATGGAAAGAGCACGAGCACGAGCATGAGCGCCAGCGTCCGACTCAAAGCAGCAGCCCGCATTTTGCTCACAGGCAACCAACACGGCGGATGGGAGGGCACAGGCAAGACAGGCAAGACAGGTCAGTGCTCCAGCCCGATTGTTAGTGATCACTGGCGCTGGGGATGATGCCCATTCTCTAACAGCCACCAAACCGATGGCGCCGGGTCTTTGATGTGATATCCGAGCGAGGTTTGGGCCAGCGATGACGCTAAGAGGTCGTCGGGTCGGCACACAGGCGGCAGCAGCAATAGGCCGCGTCAAGCCTCCTCTGCTTCCTTTGCTTCCTTTGCTGCCCACGTCTGTCTGCAGTGCCTGGGGAACTGCTGGCCGGTGAAATACGGCAAAAGTACCTAGGTAGGTGTATGTATGCCCAGGTACCTACGCAGGCAGTACGCCCCCAAAGGGTTGATTGACAGGTGGTCGCTTCCCGATGACTGGCGATGACCTGGTGAGCATGATGCGATGCAACGTAAAGCAGTACAGGATGGGGAGCCGGCGGGATCCAGGAGCTTTGCTTCCGTTTGGGCTGGATGGGTGGGGGAGGGGCAGGCGGAAGACTGATTGACGAGCAGCAGCAACAGCAGCAGCAGCAGCAGCCAGCCGACGCCGCCCACTTGCCATTCTGGCCCCAACCATGTTAGGCAGGCAAGGCAGGATACCAGGGTGAAGGAGACCCGGCAGCGATGCGATGGCATCGAAAACCCCGTCGCGCCACAGCTGGCTGGACCAGGCCAGCTACCTACCTAACTACCAAAGCTAGGTAGGTACCTAAGTTAACTGTGGTTCAGTCTTCATGTTCTTCTCGGACGATCGAAACGAAATGCGAAGATCAAAAGGACATCGAGCTTCTCCGGTATTTGTTGGACAAACCGCACCAATTGGCCATGTGCACCCAGCCTGTCTGTGCTTCTCGACCATGTTTGCCTTGACGTCATTCATCATCAGCTGTCTGCATCGCGCCCCTCTATCACTGTCTCAACACCTAAGTCGATGATGAAATACCACCCAATTGAGAGAGCAATAGCCGCACAAAACTCGTCATAGCTCGGGTACTTCCATGTGCTGGTACAACTGGGGGCGCCTCGTCGTATTTAGAGGACATTTCGTCTCTTCAATGCATACCTCAAGCCATAATCCAGTCCTCCTACACACAATAAACTCTTTGCGCTGTCACACCAGAAATCCCCATCACCATGTCCAACCAGCAATTCTCCAACGCCGACACGGGCAACCGCCCTGCCGACCCTTACAAGGATGCCAACAAGGACGAGGTGTCCCTTCAAACCAAGATTGAGGACTTGACCCAGTTCATCAATGCCACCAAGTTCGCCATGATGACCACACGTGATGCCTCGTCTGGCAACCTCGTTTCGCGCGCCATGGCACTGGCCGCCTCTGTACGTGAAGGCCTTTCAACTCCCTCTAGTAGTAACCCTACTGACCAGACACAGGAGGTGGGCGGTATTGATCTTCTCTTCCACACCAACACCGAGTCCAACAAGACGGACGAGATCAAGAGCGATCCTCACGTCAACATCTCGTTCATCAACAGCTCAGGCGACTGGGCGTCCGTCTCGGGTGTTTCCTAGGTGGTCACCGACCGTAGTCTCGTCAAGAAGCACTACAGCTCCGAACTCAAGGCGTGGTTGGGCGACCTCGGCGATGGCAAGCACGACGGCTCGGAGAATGACCCCCGCATCGGCGTCATCCGTGTCAAGACCAACACCATCACGTACGCCATCTCCCACAAGACGTTTGTCGGCAAGCTGGCACAGGTGGCCGAGGGTATCGTCACCGGCAGCGCAGCTCAGGTCAACAAGCTCAGGGAGATTTCGTCGTATTTTTTTGAAAAGTGGAGGGTCTCGCAGTCCCTGGCGCAGTAATGGACAGTAGCAGCACCGGCCTATGGATCGATATGGGATCGAGAATTTATGCCCTAGCCCACCCTCCCCATCATCAGATGGCCATGAGACCATGAACTCACGATGAATTAATTCTTTATCGCTTTCAACATGCTACAGCTGCTTCCCGTACTCCTCGTTCCATATCCTGCTCCACGCCTCCTTGTCCACTGCGAACGCCTTGACGTAGTCGTGCTCGAGCTCGTGCGTCCTCCTGCCCAGCAACACCATGCTGTGCAGCGGCGCGCCCAGCAGCTCGTCCGTATCGCAGAGCTCCCTCAGCGTGCCGGCGACAAACTTCTCCGTCCGGCCGCCGACGCGCGCGGCGCCAATGGCGAGGCTGTCAGGCCCGTAGGCGCCCTCGCCCTTCTCCTCCTCAATCTCGAGCATCTGGCGCGCGCACTGCCCGACGGTCATGTAGCGCGGCGGCTCGTAGACGAGGCGGCCGCGGATCATGTTCTCGACGCTCTGCTCCTTGACCTTGATGTCGAGCAGCACGAGCGTGTGCAGGCCGATCTGGCGGTTCTCCTTGACGCGGTCGTAAAAGGACGCCGGCCGCCAGCTGTCGGTGAAGAAGACCATGGAGACGGTCTGGCCAAAGTTGTAGAGCTGCAGGCCGGCGGCGCCGATGCCCGACATGATGGAACGCGTCGGCACCGCGGCCACGGGAATCTCGAGATCGCGCGCGCGCAG